TTGTGGAACATGATCTTGTGTGCCAAAGGATTCCGTAGGGACTTCTCCCGGTGGGTCCATGAAATGTTGAATATTAGCCTTGGTAATTACTTGCCGAGTCTTGAGATTGTCATCCTCATCAAAGACACGTTCATGCAGTGGCACCACAACAATGAGCAGGCAGACCTTAAAGCCAAGCAAGCCATCCAGAAAATCGAGCTTTGGGAAGATTGGAAAAATGGGGGGAAAATTGCTTTTGGCAAAGTCAAAACGACTGACCTCACCCCCCTTACTTCAATCAAAAATAAGGTCCAGTGTAACATCAAAAGGGTTGCATGGCCCAAAGAAGGGAAAAACTATCTGCCGTGTGAAAATACGAACGTGCTGGACTTGAATCTCCCTGTTGTTTTTCAGACGCAGGTTGCTAGAATTTCCCAAGTTGGCCAAAATGGTATTTTCCTGGATCGTAATGTTCATTTGCTCTCCTATGAGCCTGGAACGTTGGTTGTTGAGCAGGAACATACCTATGCCAGTCCTGAAGAGATGCATGCTCAACTGTTTGCGGCTTGGAATGTCTTTTTTCAGCGCGATAATGAAGAGGAATTGGACAGGGTGCCGGAAGACATGAGTGACCTCATTGGTAGGATGCCTCAGAGCCATGTTGCAAGCCTTCCACCCATTGATGGTGCGATGATCGAACATGCACTCCGTTGCACCAAGGTTGCAAGCAGCAGGGGATCAGATGGTTTCAGCACCCTTGATCTCCGTAAGTTGCCCATTTCCTTATTAGATATGCTAGCCTTGATTCTGCAGTTAATTGAACAAAATGGAGTTTGGCCTCAAAAATGGACCCTTGCGAAGACCCTGTGTCTTCCCAAAACTGCCGACGCCAAAACTCCTTATGACATCAGGCCAGTCACGGTAATGGCAAAGATCTACAGACTATGGGGACATATCAGGGGTAAGCAAGTTACTTCATACATCAGTGCATCCATCCCTCCGGAAATAGCTGGTGTGTGTAAGAAAATTTCTTCTGATATGATTGCGCTGCTCATTGCGTCCAAAGTAGAGGATGCGCACAGACTCAACACCCCCCTGGGTGGAATTGTTGTTGATCTCATGACGTGCTACAACACGGTTCCACGAGGTGGCCTTCTGTTAATTCTATCCAAACTTGGTGTCCCAATCCCAGTTTTGAATGCCTTCCGTGCCATGATGCGGCAGATGAATAGGTTTTTTGAAGTTGCACAATGTTGCTCAGACCCCCAGTTGACAACAACAGGCATCATCGAAGGGTGCGGGTTTGCCATCCCATCAATGCTTGCAGTTAGCCTGTTAGCACATTTGGCAATTACTGAAGCAGCTCCAGATGCTCAATGTGCCTTTTTTGCTGACAACTGGAGTGTTTTTGCGCATGCCTTTGAAGATTTACAGAAGAGTCTTGACGCACTTCACGATGTTACGAGAAGACTTAAAATGAAGATTGCACCCAAAAAAAGCTGGACATGGGCCACATCTTCAACCTTGAGAACGCAGTGTGCTAGCTTGCAAGTCGACTCAATTCGAATTCCCTTAGTACATAGTGCGCATGACCTTGGTATGCAGCAAAACTATACTAAGAAACAGTCAAAAAAAACTGTCAAATCAAAAATTGGTAAAGCTAAAAACAGACTTCAGGTCATCAAAAATTCCAAGGTTCCCAGGGGAATGAAGAAAACTATTGCTGCTTCAGTGGGACATGCATGTGTTACATATTCTGGTGTTTTCCAACAGATTGCCCCGCAAGATCTCCATGCGTTACGTTCAAAGACTGCGGCCGCAATTCAGTGTGTGGGGTCGGGTGCTAACAGTTACCTAGCCTGTAACGCTTGCGATCCTTCTTTTGACCCTGAGTTTAAGTTGCTCTTTCTGAGATTGCAGATGTGGAAACGATTTCAGCGTCTTTTTCCTGACAATGCTGCATCGCTCCACCAAAGGTGTGTTGAAATTCAAGATGTTCCAAGCAGACTCAAAAAACCGGGACCTGTTGCTGCACTAGTCAATGCAGTATCACAAGTTGGGTGCAAATTTGGAAATGTCAGCGGCACCTTGTGTGTTGCCAATCGTGAGTGTCATTGGATGCAGGTTTCTGCCAAAGCACTTAAGCAACTTTTGCAGCGAGCCTGGATAAATCATGTGGTATCAACTCGGATCAGCCGAAAATATTTCAATTTGGAATCTTTTGACTGGATAGGTAACAAAAATGCCATGGCCAAGCTCACGTATTACCATCAGTCCCTGATTTCAATTTACCAAACTGGGAGGCATATCACCAATGACTTTCTCAGTAAGTTTTTACCGGGTGTCCAGAACCGATGTGTCCTGTGCGGCAATCCCGACTCCAGGGAACATCGGCTCTTTTATTGCCGTAATCTTGATGACGTGAGACCAAAAAAAGACATCCTCCAAAGAGTTAGGAATTGGGGTGAAACCTGCTGGCACTTTGCATTAGTTCCTGCCATTCCGGATGCATCCGAAATTATTGGGAGTGTCACGTGTCACGAAGTTCCATGGTCCCTTCCACCTATTGGGGAGGCAGTGCATTGTGTGTTCACTGACGGCTCGGCGTTTTTCAATAACGTGCCTGAACTTTCAATTGCATCTGCTGCGGTGCTTGAGGTTGGCCAGAACAGTTACACACCAAATTTTGCGTTTGGACAACTTGTTCCAGGAGTTGAACAAACTAGTTTTGCAGGCGAACTGTACTCTGTTTTACTGGCTTTGAATAGATGGTACCACGTCTGCATTTTTTCAGATTGCCAAACAGTTGTTGAAATGATGGAAGATGAAATTTTTCAGCAACCAAGGAGGCATGAACTGAAGGGTTCCTTGTTGATCTGGAATTGTATTCTGCGACATCTTAGCCAACGAGGTGAACGGCAGATTTCCATCTTGAAAGTCAAAGCGCATGTCCAGATTGACAAAGTTTCAAACCCATTCGAGAGGTGGGCTGCATGGTGCAATGACTTTGTGGATAAAAAAGCGAAAAGTACCATCACTGCAGACAACAGAGGACTTTTCTTAAAATTGGAGGCTATGCACAAAAGAGTTTCCCAACATAGAACAGATGCAATTGCCCTATTTGAGTTCATCGCATTGGCCAGTGACAAATGCATCAAAGCATCAGCGAAGCAACAGAAAGAAAGGCAAAAAGATAACCATTTTAACCCTGAACATCCAGCTCTGCAAGTGGCTCCGCAGGTTTTTAGAGTCAACCATTCCTTCACACACCAACAATATCTTGCCTATCCATGGGGGCCAGTTTATTTGTGGAGGATCACCCAATGGGCAAAGGGCCTTGCTTGGCCTAGCCAAGACTGCGTTCATAATGCGGATATATCTATGTTAGAACTCTACATAGATTATATGACAGTTACGCAGACCATTGTTCCTCGCAACACTTTCACGAAGCAACAACGTGACCAATGGACGGCACCATGCTACATTCTGGAGGACAAAGAAGTGTTAGCTGATACGTGTGCTCGCACGTTGGGTGCCCAAATGATGATTTGGTCCAAGAGTATATCCTGGATTGTCAAACATGCTCCATTTACATTATTTCCTGCTTCCCTGACATCAAAAGCACGTTCCCTCAGTGCGCTTGGGTGTTCCAGTACATGCAAGGGATTTGCAAAAAGGCCACAACTTTGGTATACTGATGAAGTTAAAGCTGCCTTGCATAACCTGTTCAACACTTCCAATGGTAGCACAAGGCATCTCAATCGAATTTTCATTCCGCCTAAGAAACCTGCAAGGCTTGACGATGACCCAATGGAATTGCAGATACCCTTCACAGAAAGGGCAAAGTTCATTCGATATGCCACACGGTACTATCCTCTCAACAATTAGTTGTTTTTTCAATTGAAAGGTAAAGTCTTGTTGGTGGTACGAATCCTGACCACCCACAAGCCCAAACAACGTTTGGGACGAAACGCAAAAGACGCAAAAAATCCAGTGGTTTGGAGGGAGCGATTCGGAGCTAGGGGTATTCATATTCCCTATATATTCCCTATTCAATGGGGAGCCAAGGAGCTACTTAGAGTTTCCCAAGCATCAAATAGTATTGACCATCTATTTCTTGGACGCAAATTTGACCCATAGCCATGGGAGGATTTTGGAAATGACTGGAGTTGAAGCGAGAGGCAGGGTTTGGTTTGAAGATCTTTGTTAGCTATACTGGTTGGTGGTTTGGAACTTTTTTTTTCCATTCAGTTGGGAATTTCACCATCCCAACTGACGAACTCATATTTTTCAGAGGGGTAGGTGGGTGCACGTGGAGGTTTACGAAGCTAATTCCCAGCCGTGAGACGGTTTAGTGACCGAAGTTGATTCCCTCTTGAGATATATAATCTTTTGAAACTGAGGTTTGGTCACTTGAAATAGATCCCCAAAAGCACCTTTCGGGTCAAATTTATGTTATCCGTACAAGTTATACGTACGTTCATATGGTATATATCAAATACATATACTGTACATATATATATATATATACACACTCTTATATATATATACATGATTGGTCAGTGCCTTTCTGAAACAAACTCTTTGGGACGAACATCCATGGAGCAAACGGCCCGCAAAAGAATCGGGTGAAACCAACGAATGATACGAGTTGCAGATGGTCATTCCAGTTTTACTTCTATGAAAAACAATAGTCAATGGATGGTAAAACTTGGGTATATCCAGAATCCAAGTTTTACTTATGAAAAAGTTGAATATATCGATTGATGGTAAAACTTGGGTATATCAGGAATCCACGTTTTACCACTAATTCACCATCCCTTTATAAACTAACATAGCTATGGAAAATGGCCCATTTATAGTGGATTTTCCCATTAATAGCATGGTGATTTTCCATAGCTATGTTAAATTACCAGAGGGTAGTTCACCATCCCTTTAAAAGATGTATATTGGTATACGACCCTTGTATCAGTGGCGGTTCCCTCTGGAGTCCCGCCACATGGTTGCACCGAAAAACCAAGGCATGGCCAGCCAGGCCAGCACCATGTGCCCTGGCCGCCCCGAGGTGGTGATCGTTGGTTAAAAGCTGGGGTTTATGGTGAGTACCCTCTGGTAATTTAACATAGCTATTGAACATGGTGATTTATAGTGGATTTACCCATTGAAAATCGTGATTTTCAATAGCTATGTTAGTTTACCAGAGGGTATAACCCAAGGTGAGTATCTGGTTAGCATCTGGTTAGTATCTGGTTAATAAGTCCGGAGGGCTTGTTTTTTTTTTTTTTTAAACGTTTTAACTATAGTTAGCATCTGGTTATTTGATGTTATTTCTTACATAGCTATGGAAGCCATGGCCCATAACTATAGGGTAGCTATGATATACGGTGGAATATTGTAGAGACATCGAACGAGTTGATGGGGTTGATAAATAAACTAGTTCGACTTCTACAAGGGTGCACCACCTTGTAGGAAAGTCATGAGGAAATTTTGAATGGTCTTGATGTATGTTGTGTTATGCTGTACAGATTTTGGGTTTGGATGGATCAATGCTTTCCTGTACCACTATGACCACATTTCTGGTCTTCAGGGCCATGTTGCGGCTCGCTCCGTGTCTCCTGGAAGCTCAGGTATGCGCAAAACATGTGTGTCTTGGGCTGCAGATTCTGTCAGATCTGGATTTGGATCCTGGATTGCGGATCATTTCGGTATCAAAACATCCAAATTTGCTGGCATCACAAGTACTGTTGTCGGTTGTTGTTGTTGTTGTTGTTGCTGTTCGTGGTGGTGGTGGTTGTTGATGATGATGATCGATGGATTCCCAATTCTTTTCAACCAGTTCATCCTCCAGAGATTTGGCTGCTCCAAAGGTAAGGCCGAACTCAGCAGAGAAGCAACATCGATGGTGAAACATTTGAGCACCCAAATATTCTTAAACACATACGCACATGGTGACATAGATGTTTTTGGTATTACATGTTATTACCAATCCATTTGGTATAGCCCAGACTGAGCCAGGTTTTTTCATGTTTTTCCCATTTTTTTCCTCCATTTCCCGTCGCCGTCCTCCGAAAAAAAGGGGGCTCGCCTCCGCCCTCCGCGCCGCCCGAGCTGACGAGGCAACTTGTTGCGTCACATCCACGGCAAGGGCAAGGCGCCAGACTTCATGAAGAACTTGCTGGGCGCATTGGATGCGCCAGGCTGGTCCAACCCCTGGCTGCGAGTGGTTTATCACATTCATTTCAGTGGGAGATTCCATGCAATCTATATTTGGTGCATACTATGATGATTAACTATTACATCCATTGTGCACGTACTAATTTTTATACGTGTTATGATATGTTCATGCTGTTGTATTGGCTATGTTGTTAATTACTATTGCCGTTTTTTTTTTAAATATAACACAGTAAGCTTAATCTTGCAAACAAAAAACATAGACTTGTTATAACATGGCTATTACTGTTGGAACTATCCACTCATCTAACTGGGTCTCATGTGACCCTCTCACCATGGGACCCAGGTGATGAGGGTGACATCGTATCACGTAGCATCGTGTGCACGCGCGATGGCAAGTCAGTCCGGGAGACCTGGGGACCCCAGGGGGGTGACCCGGGGAAACCCTAGAGATCCGGTGTTTTTGGAGGTGGTTCTGGACCGTTTATTTTTCAGTGTTTTGGAGCCAATTTTCTGGTAACCTATCCGAAAAAAAAGTTTTTTAATTTTTGTAGGATTGAGAATTCTTGATCATTTTTGTAGGTTACCCAAGAATTTTTGTATGTTTTTGTAGGTTTTTGTAGGAAACTTCGAAACCCAAAACCATTTTTGGTTGCATTAGATTTGCCTTAAATATCAAGGCCATTCTGATTTCGAAACTCCGAAGGTCCAAGGTGGTGCAAGCAGGAGATGCGTGGAACATAGAGAAACCTCTCGGAACCGCAGGATTTCCATATGCAGACTGCACGTTGGTGGCTTACTTTCTAGCGATTTGATGGTTGGGAATGATGTCATATCCCACTATATATATAATATTGATTCTATGCTTATCATTTTATTCATAAAATCCATAGAGATCCATCAAATTCCCAAGACAATTCCAGCAAGACATCCGTTAAATTCATCCCAATATTCCCCAAGATATCCATTAATTTCATCAAATTCCCCAATATCCCAATCATTCCCCAATAATCCATGAAAATTTCCAGTAAATCCCATTCAATTCCTAAATCAACATCCCAAAATCGCTGAGGTCACCATGCCCCCCCCACCGCAGCCAACGCCGGTGAAGCCCAAAGCCGCTGCGCCCACGGAGAAGAAGGTGGTAAAGGAAGATCCATTGAAGGCGCGGCGCGGGGGTTGGTGGTTGATTTTTTTTGTTGGGATACACTTGAGACACACCACCATCATATTATAGTTCATGATATATCTGGGTAAATTATAACGACCTCACTGCGACCTCACTGGAAATCATGGTTAGTAAGGGAAATCATCCCCAAATGGCCTTAATTCAGGTTAGTGAATTATTATAATTTACCCATATATATTGTATATATCCCATGATATTCCCCTTTATAGATGATGTTCCCATGATATCGACGTTCTAAGCCTGTAGAATCCCAGTTTTTATCCACAATATTCCATGGAATATCCCATCATATTCCAATGATATATCCATTATTCCCAGCAAGTATCCCATCAAAATATTCCCCATCCAACTTTTTTTGTCATCACATATTCGATCGTATCCTTATTTTTCCTACTTACCCTCTGGTAAACTAACATAGCAATTGAAAATGGCCATAGAAATAGTGGATTTACCCATTAAAAATAGTGGTTCTTTCCATAGCTATGTTAGTTTACCAGAGGGTAACTCACCATCAAATCACCATTTATAATGGTTAAATGTGGTTAAATCCCATTAAATCCCATATTTGATGATCCTCCAGAACTTGTTCGGCTTCGCCATGAGGCAGCTGCTGTAGGCGCCTTTGTGCTGACCTTTGGCGTTTGCTGCATGTTGGTGACCTGCCAGCAGCATTCGCTCCGTGGAGCCTCTAAAAACGTTGGTAAGATGCCAACGGGCCAAATTTATGGCCAGTTGTTAATAATGGGTAATAATGGCTAATAATGGTTAATAATGGTTGATAATGGTTAGTTGATACCCTCCTGTAAACATCTATCATAGATGTGGAAGATCCAGCAGATCATTCGAACGGGCTTCCCCATATGGTTTTTCCACATCTGTAGAGTATTTTCCACCATCCCATCTGGGGCGAGCCCGAGCCTAGGCCATGGGTGAAGGTGTGAAGACCTCCTTGTTGACTACCTTCCTGCTGGCCGGTGCCGCAGGTGCAGTTTGACCGACGGCGGAAGCGTGGTGATTTCCTGGGGGTTGTTAGGATAGCAGACTGAAAAAACCGGCACCACCGGAAACCACTCTTCTGTTTGTTTTTTTTCCCATGGCATTTTTGAGAATCTTGTAGCTTCTGTCTTCCATTGCATCCCTGCAACGAAGTGGAAGAATGGCACCGGGGATGACAACGAACCATTCACCAAGCATTGGAAGATGACTCTCCCTTGGTTTGGAGGAATATAAGATCCTTTATCCTTCTAGAAATCCACCTTTTTTTCATGGGCTACAGCTAAGTTTATCCAAGATTTTCATTGCATCCCAGGCATTGTAAGTGGTTCATAACTTATAACCCGCATATATATATACATGTATTCATCTAACTGGGGTATTTCATATGGCATTTATATACCTGCACCATCTATTGTGGAGAGCGCGTTCTACTGGTTGAGACCAATTTTTTATCCCATTTTCGTAGCTAGGAACATATGTAAATCATCTACAAATGGGTGATTTTTCCATAGCAAACTGTTAGTTTACTGGAGGAGAATCCCTATAATCCCTATAATCATCATTGATACCTACAACCTATATCAACAAACAGTCACTATTAGTCACCATGGATCACCATTAGCCACCATTAATCACCATTATAATCACTGGAATAATCACCCATAATTTTAATCCTTTTTAATAGGGTAAAGCCACTTTTCAAAAGGATTTACATCATCATTACTCACCATTAGTCACCATTAATCATCCACTAGTAATCACAATTAATCACTCTAATCCCAGTTTATTGATCACCTTTGAGGCTACCAGGCCGTCTGGGGCGTGGCCCACGCCCTGCACACGCCGCTGATGTCGGTGACCAATGCCATCTCGGGTTGCACGGCGCGGCGGGTGCGGTTGAGGTGACGTGAATGGCGGTTAACCATGGGTTGATATGGGTTATGGGTCAAGTTAAGAATTGCTAAGATGGGTTTGTATGGCTTTACAATATGGGTTAAGTTAAGAATTGTTAAGTTAAGATGGGTTTGTATGGCTAATGTCTAGCAATAGCTACTTCTATGGCTAGAACCAGGGTTTGTTCCCCCCAAAGGTGGGAGATAACCCCAACTATGCTGAAATATATCCACTTGCAACTAGAACTGCACTTCAAGTAAGGCCAGATATTTGGGTTGATTTTCATGGGGTGGATAACCAATCATAATGGACATAGTGAATATTTCTGATGGAATTTCTTGATGGATATAGAAGTTTGTATAGATAATGGGGTTTTGGATATTTGAGCAGCACATTTTGTGCTTTAAGTGATCAAACTAGGATTTTTTTGCACCCGGAGCTATGATCTGATCAAATTGACGACGAGATACATCACGGCCAATCCGTCCTGGTGGCATCTCATTCAGTTCATCCACCAAGCACGAATAGCCAGCCAGCGATCATTTCTTTTGACATGTTTTGGCCCAGGTCTCCATTTTTTCAAGTTGCCAAGTTATCCTTTGGTAAACCAACGTAACTATGGAAAATCACCATTTTTAATGGGTAAATCCACTATAAATGGGCCATTTTCCATAGCTATGTTAGTTTACCGGAGGGTAGCTGATTTGGTGGAATATGTTCTTATTTACCATCCTTTTCGAAGGTAGGACAAACCCAGCATCATGGGAATTGTGAATCGGTCAATCTCGGTCCTTGGAAGGTACAATGAAACCATGATAAACCATCATCTTAAACCACAATGAACATGTATAAACATTTATAAACATTAATAACATTTATAAACATGTATAAACATGTACATACATTTATAAACACTTATAAACCATCCTAATTCCATCCTTCCAAATTCTGGAAGAAAGTTCTCGCCTCGAACTTGTCGCAGGCCATTGGTGGTTTGCTGTTGATGGAGAAGACGACTTCGCCTTTCGCCTACCTCTTGGCCTCCTTGGCGTTGTTGGTCTCGGCAGTATCTGGGCGGAGTGGGTTGGTTCCTCGAAAAGGTCAGCGAAAAAACAGTTTGCGAAGTGGAAAATCACCATGTGTAGGTAAATCAACGAACTAAATGGGCCATGGCTTCGCTATGTTAAATTCACAGTTTTCTGGGTCAATTCTTTCCATGTTTTTGTTGGGTCGATCATTTGCCCCCTTTTTTCAGACAAAGCCATTGTTTCTGTTTCTGTTTTTCGGGCCATTCAGCGAAGAATCTGAAGTGAGGACCTTTGACGCACTGTATCGGGGGTTTCAAGAGATAGATTTGAGGTTTTTCGCGGAGGTCTTGCTGTATATGGGGATCATCATCATCATCATCATCATCATCATCATCATCATCATCATCATCATCATCATCATCATCATCATCATCATCATCATCATCATCATCATCATATATCATCATCATCATCATCATCATCATCATCATCATCATCATCATATATCATCATCATCATCATCATCATCATCATCATCATATATCATCATCATCATCATCATCATCATCATCATCATCATATATCATCATCATATATCATCATCATCATCATCATCATACATCATCATCATCATATATCATCATCATCATCATCATCATATATCATCATCATCATCATCATCATCATATATCATCATCATCATCATATATCATCATCATATATCATCATCATCATCATCATCATCATCATCATCATCATCATCATCATCATATATCATCATCATCATCATCATCATCATCATCATATATCATCATCATCATCATCATCATCATATATCATCATCATCATCATCATATATCATCATCATCATCATATATCATCATCATCATCATCATCATCATCATCATCATCATCATATATCATCATCATCATATATCATCATCATCATCATATCATCATCATCATCATCATCATCATCATCTATCATCATCATCATCATCATATATCATCATCATCATCATATATCATCATCATCATCATCATATATCATCATCATCATCATCATCATATATCATCATCATCATCATCATCATCATATATCATCATCATCATCATCATCATCATCATCATATATCATCATCATCATCATATATCATCATCATCATCATCATCATCATCATCATCATATATCATCATCATCATCATCATATATCATCATCATCATCATATATCATCATCATCATCATCATATATTATCATCATCATCATCATCATATATCATCATCATCATCATATATCATCATCATCATCATCATATATCATCATCATCATCATCATATATCATCATCATCATCATATATCATCATCATCATCATCTATCATCATCATCATCATATCATCATCATCATCATATATCATCATCATCATCATCATCATCATCTATCATCATCATCATCATATATCATCATCATCATATATCATCATCATCATCATATATCATCATCATCATCATATATCATCATCATCATATATCATCATCATCATCATATATCATCATCATCATCATCATCATCATATATCATCATCATCATCATATATCATCATCATCATCATCATATATCATCATCATCATCATCTATCATCATCATCATCATCATCATATATCACCATCATCATCATCATCATATATCATCATCATCATCATATATCATCATCATCATCATATATCATCATCATCATATATCATCATCATCATATTCATCATCATCA